ATATATAGGCTTATGGTTTTAGAGATTTCAATGCTTTTGAGCCTATGACAGGGCAGAATATCATAGCATGGAAGAACACATGACAGAGCATGTGGACAGCACAGAGAAACAGAGTAAAAAGAGTTGGGGTCTGATACCATGTCTCCAATGACCCAGCTTCTTTCATTAGCCCCCCCCCCAAAAAAAAAAAGGTTCTACCAGCTCTCAGTAGTATCACCTTGAGGACCAACCCTTTAACATGCGACCTCTAGAGGACATTTAAGATCAAAATCAAAATAAATACACTTCAGAAGAGTGTCTTCAGCTTTCAGGTTCTATATCACTTGGTTCATCTGATTCCCCACAAATAGGCAGTGAAGGCAACTAAGTTACAATGAAAGGCGCAAGGGGCATCAATAAGACAAAGCCCAGTGCATCTCATCTGGGTCCATCTCTCTGAGGGTTAACGTTAACTTTGCAATTTTTTTTTTTTTTGGTGGTGATTTTTAAATCACCATTTGTGTGCATGTGATTTAAATAAAAAAGGCAATCAAACCTTTCTGCCAATCTGCATGATTGTGAAACTTAATTGCCAGCAGTTATCATTAAAACAAAGGTACAGCAATTTCTTTTACCCCTATATGAATATTCCAGAAGAAAATTTCTGAACAATCCCAAAAGAAGATTTCTCAGTGCGAAGTATTTCCACCATGACACCCTGTTTGGTGGTACTGGGTCCACAGAGTTTCTAATCACACACATATATAAGTCTTTGCAGAATTACCATAGCTCCCACATATAGGAATATGAAAACCCTATGTATGTTAATGGGCATGGCTGCAAAATGATGAGTTAGGAAATTTCCAATTTATAATTTGCTAGGATCAAGGCCAGTGTAATAGCAGAAAATAGTACTATCTATCTGACCCACAACGCAATAAAATTGAGAGAAATAAATACCTCAATCTATTCCAGAATGTTCCCCCCCCCATTAAAGTTTTGATGACTCGGCACATGATACTGCCTTTATCTCTTTTTATTTGCCTCTTAAATGAAAAAGTCTATGTTGACTTCGCTTTCATAATACTATGCGTTTAATGTTTTCAAAATCTTAACTTCTTATACTGGGGGAGTCCTCTTTAATATTTAATACTATACCTTGCTCAGTTATTATAAAATATCTCTCGCATTTATTACTTTTCTCAGATTGACTTTTCTTCTTGCCTCTGTGAAATTATCCACTTGGCAATCTTGTTAAGAATATGCAAAAAGTTCTTACTTAAATTATAAAGCAAATGTAACCCATGATTATTAAGAAAGTCATTTTGTGAATCAGCCATTGTTTGTTTCTGAATATAATCAAATGCCATAGACAATATTAAAAGCTTATGGATAAGGATTTTTTTTGTAATTTAAAATAATAAAAGTAATCAAACCTTCCTGCCAATGTAGGTGATTGTGAAATTTCATTACCAGCCGTTATCATTCAAATAAAGGTACGACAATTTCTCTTACACATAATTGAATATTCTAGAAGAAAATTTCTAAAGAGTTCTCAGAGTGCATTTTCAAATTAATTTTAACCTGATTATTTCACTTGTTATGTTTCAGCTGGTAACATGGAATGACATACTTGTGCGTGTAGATAAACAACAGCCAGTGAGAAGCTCTTCTCAGAAAAGTCAGATGACTTTGAGCTTAATACTGAGTAGATTACTAGAGCTTTTCTCTTTATGCAAAAAAACCAAGCCTAAACCTCCCACAGCTGTCCTTATAGAGAGGTTTGAATTCCCCTCTCCACGTGTCAGATGCTGTGGAATCAATTGCTCCTTTTCTGGTGCCCCATTCCCCAAGGATGTCCTGGGGCTTCCGTAACTGTCCTATCAAAGCCACTGCCACCTGAGCAGACAGAAAACTCCTACATCAGCAAAACAATAAGAGGTCCAGTTTTCTATGCATATCGCTGCTTAGGGGCCTCTAAGCATGACTGTCCAGAGAGGAGCACCAATCCAGAAAGAGGATCGACAGGCCGAAGGAAGTCCTAAGTCATAAGGCCATCAACTGCCCATCTCCATGCCTTTGCCTAGGTTCTTCCACTTCTTGAAATGATTTTCCTTCCCATCTGCATTCTGGGAAAATTCTACTCATTCTTTTTTTTTTTTTTTTTTTTTTTTTTTTTGTGTGTGTGTGTGTGTGTGTGTGTGTGTGTGTGTGTGTGGCCAGCTCAGCCCACCAGGGGGCAGGGCTGGCTGGCATGTGGTGCTGGGGAATTGAACCGCGGTCCCTCTGATTTGCTAAGCTTGTTCTAAGTAGGTGCTTTAGACCACTGAGCCATCTCACCAGCCCTCTACTCATTCTTTAAGGCTCAACTCATCCGTGACTCCACTGGCCACTCAAAGTTGAAGCAATGACTTCCTTCTCTGCATTCTCCTCTGCAGAAGTCATTTTATCAAACTGGGATACAAGTTGATCTTTGTTTGCCTGTGTTTGCTGCTCATGGTACAGGGAAGAATGAGGATTCCTTTTTCCAACCCAAACAAACAGTTTATGCATGAACCCAGGAAAATACTCAGTCTACTTGTTTAATGCATCCCAAACCTCAGAACCAAATGTGCTATGTGCTGGTGCAAGTGAATTTTATGTGTCTTAAACTTATTTCTTTTGCACCTAGAGTCCCAGCCAGTGAGTGATTTCTCTTTCACTCTGTAAAGAAGTTGTTGCTTGTTTCATTTTGTGTTTACGCTGAACACTTATTATGTGCTAAGTGCTAGCCTCTGTGCTAAGTACTCTACACCTATTACCTTACTTACTCCCAGCAATACCTCTATGAAGTAGTCATGTTCCTAGTATTAACTTTATTTACAGAAGAAACAAGGCTTGGAGAAGTTAAATAACTCATCCCGAAGTATCCAGTGGGTCCGTGGTAGAAACAGAAGTGAAAGACAATAATTGCAAACCTTCAAAGCTAGAATTATCTTCCATCTTGAACTGAAGCTTATAGCTCACTGCCTAGTACGCAGTAGGTGCTTTAAAATGGTGATCAAGTGCCCTAATTTCTCAGAATACGGGCCCAGCTGCCATGACAAACAGGTTCCATTCTTTCCCACCCAACACCTCTCAAAGGTGTGAATTGCTTGCTTGCATTGTGTGAATTATTCATGATTCACACAATGGTAAGTGTGCTTAACAACTAGAATTTTGTATTTTTCAAGACAAAGTGCCTGAAGAATAGGTGAGTCGGGAAGCAGAAGCTCACCGGCTAAGTCAATATATCCATGCCTGATTTTTTAAATTTGGCCTTCCTAAAATTTCCCAGTTTGTTTTAGGATTTAAAACAGTGGTGCATAAAGCAGGAAAGAGAACCACTTAAGCATCCCTGTCCTATCTGCAAAGCAATTACTGTCATTTAAGATGATACTGTGTGCTTCAAGCCACCATGTTCTTCCCACAGCTGAGTGAGGATTTTCAAACAGGTTTCTTAGACTATACCGAGATCTGAAAATTCAGATGCAACAGCATCTATAATTTATGCCACCAGTAAGTAAATCAAGCAACGACACTTTCTCCCTGTCCTTTCTCCATTCTTCTTTCCCTTTGCCACTGTTCCCCTACCAGTTCACTTCTGGTCTGCTAAGAGGATGCCAACACCACTGTATTTTAAATGCAATGTTAGTCAACCAAAATGAATTGACAAGCAGCAGCAGTGGTTTGAGGGTACTAAAAATAAGCTGTAGCATTTGCTGAGTTCTCAGAATGCAAACCACAAGCGGTCAACTTGTTGCTGCTTTTAATAAGATATGAGTGTTCTGCCCCATTGGCTGCTACTACCAGGGAGCTGAACTGTATCACACACCTAACAACACTTTTTTTTTTTTTTTTTAATACTAGTTGGTAGTGATCAAGAGAGAAAGTGTCATGTCCCTGGGACTAAGCTGGCCAACAAAGATAGCAGATGGCTTTTAAGGGATCACCTTGTGACACACCACAATGGCACCTTAGTCAAATTCACCTTGCATTTATGATTTAATTAGTTACATATCTATAGATATGGTTCCCTTTAAGCCTGGGTTGCTGTCCAGTGCTTCCAGGAAGGTATTTCTTTCTTTAAGTTTAATTTTGGGATATTAATAAAAAGAACACAATAGGACATAATACAATAGTAATATGTTGGGTATTTCCATTAGGACTTCAAGACATTCTGGCCCCTCAAACACCATGTGGAATGCTAAGTGTCTTGTTTGCTATCCCTTTACGATTTGTTATGAGGAAAGTTTTCGATGACCAGAGAGGTAGAGGAATCCTGCCTAGTGCATCAGTCTGATTAGAAACCTGTCATACTCAGAAACCAGAGGGGTTGCTTCTATTGATTCCTATGCCTTTAGATTCATTAGCAATGTTTTTCTCTTCAATTAAACCTGCTGGTCAACCATGGAAAGGCTTCGAGAAGCCCTCCCTCTACTCAGCCACACTTAAAGGGAGAATAAAAACCTGTATGTCTTGAAAGTAAAATTAGAGAGTTATAAGAAACGTCTAAGGAGCCACATAGAAAAATTTCTCCCACACAAACCCATCCACACCCCCCTCCCCCGTGCACATGCATTCACACTTCGAAACGTGCCAAGAGTCAGAGGCTGGGCTCGACCTCCGTTTCCCTAAGCCACTTCAAGCCACACTCTAAATGACTGCTATCTCAAACCCATGCTTCAAGCGAGTGTCTCCACAGAGCTAATTTCTGAAACAAACAAAGAAAACCAAGTCTGCGAGGAGCGGAGGGTTTTCTCCCCCCTGCTTTGGGTTTGGCTAACTAGGGTGCCCGGCGCGGCTCCGCTAACAGGTACGGGCGCCCGGCTTCGCCCTAACCCTCCCCGCCCCGCCGGCCTCCGCTCCAGCAGCGCCAGAAAGTGCGAGCTGCCCCGCCCGCCCGCTGCGCCCCAGCCCCAGCGCCCCGTGTCGCACACGGCGGGCGGCCCCAATCTGCCACCTCTGCCCAGCCAGATGCCGGTCGCGGAGCGCTCCGGGGCTGGCTAACCAAACAAGTGTCCCGCCGGCCGCCTGCTCCGCTCCCGGAGCGCGGGCGGGACGGCCACAGGTAGGCTGTCTCCATCCTGGGGCGCGGGGAGGGGGCGAGACCGCGCCCGGCGCGCCGCAACTCACCGGAGGACACGGAGGAGCCGGACAGGCTGGAGTTGCTGGACGCGGCCATCTCCGCGCGCCCCGCGCGTCGCAGCTCGCTCAGCCCCGGTGCGTGCGCCGCCGCCGCTGCCCTCGCCCGGCCGCCCGCAGCCTCCGCGGCCCCCAGCCCATGGCAAAGTCCTGGGGACGCGCGAGAGCGGCAGCCTCCGGACTCTGCCTGCACTTCCTGCTCCGCCAGATGACGCGCTGCTGCCGCCGCTATTTATTTGTGGTTTCCGTCCCTCTCCGCGCCTTTGCACGCGTTTCTCCGGGTGTTGGGGAGTAGGTGGGAGCGGAGGGAGACCGCGGGGTGGCTCCAGCCGAGCCCCTCTGCCGCCCGCGCTCTCCGGAGCGCTGCGAAGACCGGGGCGACCCAGCGGCCCCGAGCGGCGCGGCCAGCTCCTCGCACCCTCCCGGAGCTCCCGCCTCCGCGCCCGCACTTCAAGCAGCCCGGGCAAAGGCGGCGGGAGACAGACAGACAGAGCGACCTCCCCCTTCTCCCTCCGCCCGAACTCCGCTCGCGCTCACACAAAGGAAAGCGAGGAGACGCGGGTGCTCTGGGCCGTTCAGCCGCCGGCTTGACAGCTTCTGTCACGGGGGTTGGGGAGCTGGCTACGGACTTCGGGGCGGGGGGTTCGCACTCGCGAGCGGGGCTCCGAGGTGCTGAGGAGGCCGTTTGAGGCGCGGGCCGAGCAAGGTGCCAGGCGCAGGGCTGGTCCTAGGGTTTGTGGGGGAGGGTGGTGGCCTGGGGAAGGTGGTGGGGCTGCCCTTGCCCGCTGGGCTTTGGGACAGCAAGATGGCAGGATTGGGCATCTAGAGGGCCAAGGCGGGATCGCTAAGGACACGGTGCTGGGCAGAAGGGCACCGGGGTGCCAGGGAAGCTGTGAAGTGCCCCTTCCATCCCGCAGATTGTCCTTTGTTGCCTTGGAGCGGATGGCCCCTTCCCTGCCCAGAAGAGCATTTCCTAAAACCTCGGGAAGCCAGTTCAGCTACACTTAAGTACCTCAGCCACAGCTACCGCCCAACGGGTCTGCGGGGCCCCTGAGGCTGGCCACCAAAGAAATAGAGACACTCCAAACACTCGTCAGGCCTACACAAAGCTGAGTGTCAGAAAGAAACAGGTTCAGTGACTGTGCCTTGTAAAGGACCCTCACAAAAGACTTGAGTCTCAACGGCAGGTCCCATTATGCCCTTTCAGGGTAGGGACTTGCTCAGGTGTGGGAGAGAAAGCCAGGTATGTGCCTTCCTCCTGTATTTAAACCTAAATTAATTTCACCGAGAGGAAATATCATGCAGATTTTTTAAGTCTATTTCATGCTCCCAGCAGGGTAATTGGTTCTTTCAATCCTGAAGCAACAGAAAACTGTGAAATTCGAACAGAAATTGTTAGATCAAAGGAAAAAGCAAACATTAAAGGAATGAAAGTGCTCTCATTATATAACAAAATGGAAAGTGTTCACATTGGGGGTAGTTCAATTTTTAAAAACATGGTTAAAAGGACATAGTCCATTTAAAAATTATCAGGAGTGACATAGGAACAGTGGTAGCTAAGACCTGGGGGTATCCATAGCCAACTACCTAACGCACGGTGAATACCCAATGTTAAATAGTCACCATATGCACTCATGTCACATTTTCTAGTTGATTTTTTAAACTGTTTTTTTTTTTTTTTTTTTTTAATTCCCTCTGAGACACCATCCCAGTAGGACTTCCCAGTAAGGTTCTTTCTTAGACACTGTGCATGGCTGGCTGAAGAGTCAAAGGCTTCTGAGCTGGGCACAGTCACATCAGAAGGGGTCTTCTTGGCCCTCGCAGGCACTGAATTCTGTAGCTGAATTCCCTCCCCCCCCCAGCACCCCTCCCCACACTCCATTTTTCTCCTTGGTGTGGAATAGGGCATCATATGGAGATTTTTAAGGGTATGTGTCCATTGTGCATTTGGCGTCTCTATCAGAAAGGAGCTGCCAGTTTCCCTAGAGTTTTGTTGATCAATGAAGATGGCATTTACCTATTTGACTAATAATCTATACAGTATATCCCTCCAGACTGTTAGAGGGTAGACTTAGCCATGTCACCCATCAGAGGATTCTTACCACCTAGGTTTGAAGATGATAACGTCTATATTCAAACTCTGGTTCTGCTGCTTACTAGCCATGAGACCTTGAGCTACTTCTTAGACTCACTGAGCCTTAGTGTCTTCACTGGCAATAAAAGTACTGACAGAGTATTGGGAATATGAAACAAGATACGTGTATGTATCTGGCATAAAGTGCGTATCACAAAAGTGACTGCACATTGTGTTATTCCAAATTGATAGATGAAGGGATACATGCTGTGACAGCACCACCCACTTCCAGGTCATGCTGTGCTGTACAAAACCAGAAAAAGATGGAGACTTATTGGCAAGGCCCAGCCTGTTGGCAGGAGATGGACAGCAACCATGAAGCCCATTATTCTGAAGAACAAATGCAAAGCTCCAGGTTCAGAACAGAAATCTGAAAGTGGATGGATCATTTGGATCATTAAAGCATAACCAATGGAGAAAACTCAGCAGGCATGGCTGTTCACTATCATCTTTCTTCAATTCAGAGGCCTACATGCTTGCTGCTCCTTGCATCAGTAAATCAGCAGGCAAGGGCTGAAACAAAATGTTCATCCCCTCCTCACCAGTATGTCCAAGGCCCTGTTTGTGGACCTTCCAAAGTAGTTCTCCATGTTAAACAATGAGAAAACCAGCTTGTGTATTTTATATTCTTGTATGGTGTTATATAATTCCTGTTTGCCAGTGAAAAGCGAATATTGGTGCTACAAGATCTTAATCTGTTTGAAATCTAGTCTGACCTGCTAGAATTGATTTTATATATTTCTATTGTCTTTCTGCAGTTCACAAGGCCTGTGGATAAAAGGACTGTTGTGGATAATTTGGTCTATGTAGGACTACACGTTACCACTTCACGTTAGTTAGCTTTCTCCTGGTATCCAGTGCCTTCCAGTGTTTCCTTTCCAAGCTTTTTTTAATGTCTTCTGCTCTGTGAAAATGACCTTTCCTCCCTGGGCCAGTGCCCCTGGGTGCTGACATCACTGGCGTACAAATGGCCTTCCTTGCTACCCATCCTAGCCGTGGTGAATGTTCACCAGCAGGCCTCTTCTCTAGAGAGTCCACTCTGGCTCCTGAGCCAGAAGCCAACTGCTTGGTGAGTTCCCCGACTCCTCCTCTACCTCTCCACGACCAGCTCTCTGCTCAGTGAGTCCCTTAGTGGCTCTTGTGTGTGCCTCAGTAGCTACAATCCCTGAGCAGTAAGACAAGACAGCAAGTAGCACATCTGCAGTCCAAAAAGAAGTTGATGAAAATGTAAAGACAGGGGCTCAGCCGAGAACAAGAAAATCTGCAATGATGACAACAGAAGAATGAAGTCGTGACAGAACAAATGTTGGCACCCCCCCCAACTTGGGCAGTGGCTTAGTTACAACTCATGGAGTAATTTATTGTTTCCAGGGTAGCTCTTCAGTTACTATATTTGTTTATTTATTTTTGTGTTCCTTTGAAGTTTGAAAGCAGACAGGAACCCACCGCAGGGTGAATGTGGCTGTGGCAGCTGGAGCGGAGCTCGGAGCTCGCTCTTGTCAGGCACTCTGGGGGGTTTCTCAGAGAAGGTCATTCCTTTTCCCTGTGCTGAGCACAGAATGAAATATTCCTTACTTTCAAGATTAATCCAGTGGCCTGCATTCACAAGAGAAGAGTGGGGCTATTTGTCAAGTAGCTTTAAATATTTTATGGCAAATACTCTACTGTAGCCTTAGAAGTGGTCCTTTGGCCATCAATTTCTCAACAGCAATATACTCTGTTGTTTTGAGAACTATTTGTAGTTCAAGCCTCTTTTCGAATAGGAAGATACCTACTCCTCTTAGAAGAAAAGCATTGACTCTTGGAAGGTAATGTCAAATGAAGTAGGGGCTGAAATTGAGACCCACGGTCTCCTGGAAAGGTGCCCAGGCAGCCTGGTATGGGGAGCGAGAAGCCCACTCCCGCCGCAGGTAGCAGGCTTTCCTGTGAACAAAGAGGCGCCCACACCTGGGGTGCAGACAAAGAGAGGCCGTCTCTACTCCCAATTCCCAGTGCACAGCGCCTGCTGCGGGGGACCCCTAGTGGCCACGCACTCCGCCGGCCCAGGTATTCCAAGCCACGGAAGGGTCCTGGGGATCTCCTTGCGTTTCCTATTTGGCCACTTAGCTCTGGCGCGCGCGCGCGCGCGCACACACACACACACACACACACACACACTTATCAGCTGTATCTCGCTAATGAGACACACAGAGGGAAATGCAGGCTTTTCTTAAGAAAAAAAGCATAGAATTAGAATGTCACTGAGTACGCTTTCTTCTGCATACTGCACCTTCTGGCTTTGTTTTCTGACATTTAAGATTACAGATCTTTTTTCTGCCCTCAATGTGCTAAGAGAGATCTAGGGTAAACTAAAGTGAAGAGCTCTATAAGCTTGCTCTGGGCAAAAGCATAGAGTGAGTTTGCTTTGCACATCTTCTGGGGTGACTCATGTCTTTAGGCTTTTTTGCTATCAAAATTTGCTTGCATAACGTTATCACATGAATGTATTCTGTGCTAGCTATTCGTTTATTTGTGCGTTGGCTAACTCATTCAGCAATGCTTATTAAGCACTTACTGTAAGTTAGGGAATCCACTGGGCCCTGGAATAAAGAAAAGAAGACAACTACATTGTTGCTCTGAGCGCCTACAACAGGTGACCTCTGCGTCTTCCTGGGACCCTGATACTGCAAAGGTGACAACTACAGAAACAGAATTATTACTATTACCCACAATGATGACTTTCTTCTCAGCTTTTTTCTTTTCTAACAAAACCTCCAAGTCAAATGTCAAAGGCGGTTTCTAGATAACTGGCATTTTCTCATCCACGGTTTCAGTTTGACAGGCCAGCCAGCCATACATACCATGCAGATAGCTGTTACTAGCACACGACAGGCCGTGCATGCAGCAGTGGGCTCACAGGTTACAAGGAAGCTGAAAGTCCCCAGCACCTAACCACTTGCAGCCCTCTTACGTGGGTGGCACAGTGTGTGACTCCCGTTTGTGATGAGGTCAGTGGAAATAAACTTATCAGTCAGATAGAAATACAGCACATGCAATTATGTTCAGTACATGCTATTTGATAATTATCACAAATGACTGTTACAGGTTGCTGTACTTGCTGTATTTTCCTCTACCATAATTTTAGAGTGCACTCCTGTTTACAAAAATATAAAATGTGATAAATACATGGTGAATATTTACATTTTAAAATTCATCAAAGTACACATTACCATCATCACCCTTAAAATACTCCCCTGTACTTGGAATACATGTGTCCCATTGTTCTTGTCACGTTCTGAAACCGTTGTGGAAGTCCTCCTCCATTATTATCTTTAGTTGTACTCTCCTGCTTGCCTCAATATCCTGAATCCACACAGTATGCTGACCTTCCCGGTCATTTTGACTTTGGGGAGCAGCCGGAAGCCCCATGGTGCCAGATCCAGCAAATAGGGCGGATGAGGATGCAGCTGCTGCTTTCTGAGCCTGCCTTCCCACTGGATGGCATTACACAGTAGCGCTCACCATATGCTTTTTAAAGTCACATCTCATAAAGAAGAGATGAGGGAGGGGACATTCAAAACTGCTTCAGAGGGGGCCGGCCAAATAGCTTGGTGGATTAAAGCACCTGCAAGCAGGCACAGGGGCCAGGGGCTCAATCCTCAGGCCTGCTGTGCCGGCCCCGCCCCCGGGGAGTGCTGAGAAGGCAATTGAAACAAGGCATGGAGGCGCACTCCTGTAATCCCAGCTCTTGGGAGGCTGTAAACAGGCGGATCACTATGA